TTCTAGTTCACTATTATTGATATATTTGGCTATCAGTTATATCTTGCAATATAATATAGATATTAATATATATATATATTATATATATATCTATGATATATATATATATATATATATATATATATATATAATTAATTTATTAAAACAATGATAATATAATATTATATTTTGATAAAATTATTCATAGTTTTAAAGAATGCAAATACATTAAACAACACAACTATATATTTAAATCAGAATAAATTAAACACACTCTAGTTTTCTTTTATTTTTTTGTTTTTCTAATTGACCAAAAAATTTGAACTCACAAATGGACAAATGCACAATATAGAGTATAATAAATAATAGATTTCCGCTTTTGACTATTTTTTTGAATTTTATGTTATTAACATGTGATCAGTGGAGATCTCACCACAACTAACGTGAACAAAATTTAATTTAGAAAAAAAAAATAGTTTCGCTGCTTATTCATGCCTTGTTTCGGGGAATTTCTTGGATAGAAAATAAAAAATTAAAATTGATTTATACATAAAATAGTAGATTAATTGATTGATTTTAATTTTAAGAAAAGTTAATTATTCATATATTTGGTTTTCTAATACTTAGTTTGGTTTGAAGTATTTTTCAGCTTCGCATTGGTGGTGTTGTCTTGTGCAAGTGATTTTCAGCTTATTAATAGAATTGGTAAGTAAACAGTTTAGAAAGTAAGATGAAGTAAAAGTTTTGAGGAATTGAAAGAAGAATCGAAGAAGAAGGGTCAAAGAGCATAGAAACATAATAGATAATGCGAACCCTTTGCGACGTATGCGAGAGCGCCGCTGCCATTCTCTTCTGCGCCGCCGACGAGGCTGCTCTCTGCTCTGCTTGTGACCAAAAGGTTCCTTTTTTTCTTTCCTTTCTCTTTCAATTCTATTCTAAGCAATTTCCAATTTCATCCATAAATTAAATACATAGAAAACAATTCTTTACACTTTACTCTGCTTGCTTGATTGAATCTTAATTCACTTCTTAAATTACTGTAATTATTAATTTAATAATTTATGTTCAAGGAGTAAACGAATGTTGTTTCACTTTGATTTGATTCTGATGTTGGGTCTTGATATTGCTTTAGCTTTCCTCTGCAAAGTAATGTATTTCCCATGAGTCTGGGCCTTGATTTTGAATATGTTTTGGTTTCAGTGTTTCATCTACCTATGTTCTTTCTTTCAAGTCCATATCCGAGCAGGATGCTCTTCTATTCGTATTCTTTTCTCAGTTTTTCATCCTGTTTTTAATTTGCATTTACTTCCATTTTAGATACACTTTGTTGTTGATGTAATTTCTTACTTCCTTCCCTATAACCGAAACGAACGAGTCTCGTTTAACTGGTTTCCAAGAGTATGAATCAAATTTGTTACCGTACACCCTTGTTTTGATGAATATTAGTATAAGTACATTTAAGAAAAGAAAGTAAAAAGGAAAATAAGTTAACATTTTCATTATAACTTCTCCAAAAGCTCAAGGCTTAAAGTTGAGTTTAGCTTATGTGAGGAGTTTATATATATATATATATATATATATTTGTGTTTGTGTAAAAGTTGATCTAAGAGGGTTTATATCGTTTTAGGATATGTTTTTGCATCATTGGATCTGAAATGCCTATGAAATATTATTGCATAGAATCTTCATATAGAGAGTGATTCACTTAACAAAAGAGGTAGCATTAGGACAACATAGTTGGAATTCCGACTCACTTGGAATGTGAACAAGTAGTTAACCAATAACGGAATTGTATTTTCCCCGCAGGTTTTCTTGGAAAATCTTTTTATGTTGAGTGATGCATTCTACCTCTGTGAATTTCGTATTTTTTCTTGGATGGTGCAATAATTAATACGACCCAATTATTTATGCGTTTTGTCAAGTGTTTCTGTTAACAACATTCATAATAATTTAATGAAAGTACCACTACATTTGCATGCATTTTTTTCTTCTGATAGCTTGTGTTTGCATTGGAGATACAGATCCATATGTGTAATAAACTTGCTAGCAGACACATTCGGGTTGGCCTTGCTGACCCCACTGATGTTCCACGCTGTGACATATGTGAAAATGCACCTGGTACTGAGGGTATTCATATCTTTTTTGCAAGATTGTGCATTCTAAACTATACAGAAGTTGAATCTTTCTCCCATGTCATGGAAATTTGTGTGTAGCTTTCTTTTACTGTGAGGTAGATGGTAGTTCGCTGTGTCTGCAATGTGATATGATTGTGCATGTTGGTGGTAAAAGAACTCATGAAAGATATCTTCTATTGAGGCAAAGAGTTGAGGTATGTTTTAGGATGTAAAGAATTATCAATCTTCCAAGCTTCTGAATAGATAATTTTGAAGTTTATATATGTTGCTTTTGACCTTTCTATGGCAGTTTCCAGGTGATAAACCTGCCCAAATGGAAGAACTAGGGCTGCAACCACTGGATCAGAATGAATTTAGGAGGGATGAAAATCAGTTTCTCAAGCTAAAAACAAGAGAAATTCAGCAGAATCACAGTATCTTGCCTGTTCCAAGACAAGAAAATAATATCGATGGTCATAGAAAAATTGATAAAAAGTTAATTGATCTGAACACCAGGCCATTGCGGTTAAATGGACCAGCACCAAACAACCAGGTAGTTGTTTTTTCCTATTCTACAAGAACTTGAGTTATTTGATCAAGGGCTGTTTGTAATGTGCATTTCAGAAACAAAAAAGTTGTAACACTTATTAGTCGTCAAATTAACGTATAATCTAATTCTTAAGGAACAAGGTATGGATATTTTAAGAGGCAGTAATCATGAATTTGCAAGTGTGCCACCAGTTGAATCCTACAAACAAGGGGCTGAGAAGTAATAAAGGTACAACACATAAGATGGGCTGAGGCAGCTACAGAAATATAATGTTTACTCAGTTTTCTTTTACACCGTTGACCTTGTTTCTGTCTGCTTAAAGTTTGAATTGTTTGGCTGCAGACCAAATCAATGAGGGGAAATAGTTACTTTCATACGAATGAGATGCATAATGAAGGTTGCTTAAAGTCGCTGGTATATGCCAAGTTTTCTTAAAGCAGCTTATGTTAACTACATCCTTAACATTTTGGTTTGTTAAACTTAGTCTGACAACAGAGGAACTGTTGGTCATATAACTTCATGATATTTATTACATGTCTACATATTATATATGATTAAACTCTCAAATTATTTAAATCTGCTGTTGACTTCAGTTTCTGTTCTATGTTAAAAGGGACGGTAATGCTAATGCATTGGTTGAAGTAAAAACCTATTATGGCTTCTTTTATTAAAATACAAAAGGAGAAGGGTATTGGGGAAGACTTGTATGATGATGGGGTGGTGTATTGATACTTCTCTGGTTTAACGTATGAAGCACCAATCACATTTCATGTATGAATAAAAAGAAGTTTAAAACAACATTATTCTTCATTTTTGAAAACTGTATATTTCATTACAATGGTGAAAATACTTCAAAGAAAAAAAGTGAGAGGATAAATAAGATTTGACTAATACAAAAGGCAAATAGAAGGATATAATAATAGAACTTAAGAAGATGATTGTTCCAACAAGAGTACGAAGGAGAAACTAAAACGTTTAATTCTTTTCTTTTGTTTAATAAGACCTATTTTATATTTTTTATATAAATATTGACTAAAACTTGTCTCTCTTTTTTTTTTATTTAAAAACATCATATTAGCTAAAACTTAAATAAAAATATACTAAAATAAAAAAAATTAAACTTTTAAAGTATAAAAATGTTTTTTCATAAATTTTTTAATGGTTTAATTATTATATGTTAAAAATATCAAAAAGTTATATTGTGGCTGGTTTATATACACTGTCTTGTGAAAATAATATAGAAGCTATATTTAAGAATACATTATTTCAATATAAAAGTAAATGTGTAGTCATAAAATTGTTTGATTAAATCTACTAATAGAATTTGTAGTTACGGGTTGTTTTATGACACTTACATCTTTTTTCTAGTTAAAAATTAGATGTGTGTTTCTTATATTTCCAATACCAAGCCATTTACTTTTTTTCTATAATTGTAAAATAGACTTTCAACTCTATTGTGATTTTAATAAATGACAATAATTTTTCATATATTTTAATTAAAATAACAATAGTATTTAATTTATTTTAAAACAAAAAATAAAGTTTTAAAATATAAAAATGGATAGTTTTTTTATAAACAAAAGATTGGGTTTTCACATGTTTTTTTTGTTGTAACCCAAATAAAATCGATCCACTTCTAGCACAGATTCTTGAACTCATCCAACTTGGTTTCGTAAGCCTTTGAAACGAAAAAAAAAATAGCTGTTTTGATCTCCACTTCATATTTTGTGCTTCATCGATAAAGATTTTTTTATCAAATTTTAAAATTTATTGATATCTTTGAAAAATCTTTTATCAAATTTTAAAATATTTTTTATTAAATTTTAAAATCTAATAGAAAAAATGTAATTTTTAAGTTATTTTTGAAAATTGAATATATATAATGAAATGATTAGAGATACATGTAAAACAACCTTGGACGCCACTGCATCTAAATAACTGTTTGCTTTCGTATTATTAAAAATTATTAAAGCTGTTTCCAATATAAAATTAGACAAAGATAACAACTCGTTAATAAGTTATGAGATATATTAATTTTGTATTTTTAATAAATTTTATTGAACATAGAATATTAAATAATGTATCATAACATTTCTTAAACTTTAGCTGATTAAAAGTTATTAGAAATTAATATGTAATAAAATTTTAACATATTTAGTTTCTTTGCTTTTGTTATTGGAAAATGACACTTGAACAACCATTTTTGACAACATTTAGACACGCGCACACGTGTCTAAATTTGAATGGTCCATTTTCATTTAATTTTTCCAACTGGATCACTCAAATTTATACACGCGTGTCTAAATGTTGTCAAAAATGGTGGTTGAAGTATTCCTTTGTTATTTGTAGGTTTCAGCACTGCTTCTTCTTCTTTCTCAACGTGTTGCCTCCTCGCCACCGAATACTCCTCCCGCGCCGCTGCACGGACCCACGGACCGCCGCCATCCTTCACGGCCCTTCCGAGAGAACCGTCCGCTGTATGATTCTCCCTGTTGCTTATCGGCACATCAACAAACAGATCATTGAGCGTATGTCATTGAAACTCATTCGTTCCCCCTTTTTCTTCTTTATTTTTGAACTCATTGAATGATAACGAAATTCATTAGTCACTCCTTACTTGCCAAGTCAAAAACGGGAAGATTCACTTCGGTCCGTAATTACTTGTTTTCCTCTTCCTTCATTTGCTGCAAACTGTTTGTGAATTTTACTAAGTGTTTGTCTTATTGTTTTCACATTATCTGGAAATTTTATGTCTGTGGTAACGCGGAATGGTTTTCTGTATGTTATTTAGTATCTGCTAAGAAATTCTCAATGAGCTAAAATTAGTTTATGCATTGGTTTTAACTTATTGAAAAAACTAATTTCATTTTTTTTAAAAATTTTCCATTGTAAAAGTGCTTATGGAAAGTTTTCGTATAAACAGCCCTTACTTGTTTCAATGATGTTGGTCTGATTGGATATAACTGCCACATGCTTTTGGTTTTAAGGTGGACATTTACCTGTTGCTGCTCTACTATTTTTACCATGCAATGAATACATGGGCATTAGGATGTATATTCGGCATTGTGCTTAATAATACGAGATAAGGTGAATGCTTTTTGACATTTTTGCATTTGCTTTTCCATGGGGATTTTATCAGGAAACCAATGGCAAGTTCTTTGGGTAACAGAGTTGGATCTGTTCGAAACTCTCCTTTACTAAGGTTTCCGCTCAACTTCATGAGAGCCTTGAGCACTTCATCTTCTACTTCTTCTAGTTCCTCTTCTATTTCTTCTGCTCAGAGCCCAAAGAAATCGAAGCGAAGAAAGAAAAAGAACTTGTTCGAGGTTGCTCAGTTCTTACCTAACTGGGGAATTGGCTGCCACATGGCCAAGAGTCACTGGAACGAAGTTTCTTACGAGATCACTAAACTCAATCTGTACAAGGTGCTTCTCTTTCGATCCTAAACTTTTTTTCTTGTCCTCCTATTGTTTTGATTCGGATTTCAACTATTTCAAATTGTATTTTACAGTGATTTATTCCCCTGCTTTTCTCCGTTCTAGCAAATATCTTTCTCCTTAATTTTATGTTGCATATGTTTTTGCAGGACGGAAGGCATGGAAAAGCATGGGGCATTGCTCATAAAAATGGTTAGTGTCATAAGTAGAAGTGTTTTTGACTTTGGGATATTTTGATTATCAATTCTCTGTGCAGCAGAGTCTAGGCACTGATAATCTTGCTGCACTGCTTTTCTCCAACGAAAGTGTAGGCTAGTTTCTGAATTCTTACGTAATCAATTTAGCATACCCAGTCCTGCCTGGCATAATAACAATTTGACTCTCTATTTTTCTATTCCCCTTTCATTTCATCCATTCTAATGGCTACTGAAAACTAGAATCGCAAACATATTTTTATGAATTTTGATAGAAGTGTTTGTTTGACATTTCTAAGGGAACATTTCTAACTTTGCTGTGGTGAAGAGCCCTTGGAGAGTGTTTAACGCTTATTGTGAGCTTGTAAGAACTTGCGAGAGGATTGAGCTTGTGTGCATAAGTTTGGGTAGTGATGCCACATGCGGCACTCCATTACATTTGCATGTCTCAGTGTTAACTTTCTTTCGTTCATATTCCATATCAAATTAATTAGGATCTCAGTTATAAATCACATTTTTTTTTCTTATTTGACAACGTAGTTTCTGTTAGTTACTAGAACTTGGAAGCTTTATTTGATAAATTCTCAGGATGTTCTGTGAAGCATAATGTACCTGAAATAAAGTGTAAGTTGTATGAAGTATTGTAAATGCTGAAACATTTTTGAGTACTTGTGTTTCTGACTCGATTTGATATGGCATAACTTATTGCAGGCTTGCCAATAGCAGATGCTCCAAAAAAAATTAGTGGAGTTCACAAACGATGTTGGAAGTACCTATCTGATGTAGTAAAAACATCAGACAGCTCAATGGACTTAACAAATCCCACAGACAGTGGCTTAAAATTTGAAACTGAAGCAAGTTGATACTTTCTAGTGACTTTGTTCAAATCATCAACATTAACTCATCTCTTTTTCAATTGGTCTAGTTGTTTTCGACCACTGTAGATTTTCTAGCCAATCTTGCAATATTCCTCACTCATTCTGCAAGGTGCTTAATTAAGTTTCTTTTATATTCATTAAATGAACTCACTAATATGAAACGTTCTGAGGGAGTAATCTGGCTGCATTTGGTTCTTACTTTATTTTTGTCTGAGTTATTTCATATCCATTCTAATAGATCACCGAATCTATATCTTCACATGGTAGTTCTTAATTATGTTGATTGTAAATGGGGACTTTGTATAAACACAATTTGGTATCAATATCCATCAATGATGCCTTTACCAGTGATTGACTTTATAAATACCATCACACTCGGACATCAGTAAGCTCAATGCATCCCATCAGTTATTATATATACAAAACAATTGAGAAGACTATGAGAGAAAGCTATAACTATTCAAAATTACTTAATAGAATTCAAATATTCGTGTTACATAATTTGAAATTGCATCGACAAGCATAGGTTGTTTATTAACTTAATACTACCAAGCTACAGTACATGATTTCATTGCATTTTGTTTTATTCTTTTTCGTCTGCCAACTCTACCGCCTTAAAAAAAAACTATTAAGAAGCCTTTGTTCTATGTGATTTTATTAGACTTTATTCCGGAAGGAATCCAATAACATTCATATGCTTAACCTCCTCAATGAGACATCATTGTCATCGTTGCATTAAGGATCAATTTGGTTTGTTAAGAATTATTTCACCTGATTATTGTTTCATAAGGCTATCATTATGTATGGATTGGAATTTCTATTTCATAAGCTACATGGATTTGGCTAAAGTTTCTCTTCACTAAACACTGTCCAAATTATGATTTTTAGATTTCAAGAAGAGAATACAAACACACAATACATCAATAATGATACTATGCAAATTAGACATCTCTTTCATGTTTTATTCATCATACAATAAGTTAATTTGTAAAATTCAGCTAAATTTTTCGTAAGCATAGTTGGGGGTTAAGAAATGAAATATTTAATACAACGACCTTTTCTCTCTGAACGTTGTCACGTTTGTCAAATATTGAATGAGTTATCATTCTCTTCTAAATAAATTGTTGTGGATTAGAGTTCTAGATATCTACCTGAGTTTTTAAAAAGGAAAAGAAAATTCGCCATGTAGCATTTCTCTAAAGATTCATTGTCGTCGTCTAAATAAAAAGTGCAATATATTACACTAACTATTAAGTTTATGATAAACAAATAATTATCAGTCTTCAAAAGTCCTGCAATGAGAAGTTGTGATATTGGCGTCTTAAATCAATTTCACATTTTAATTTTCTGTTACAACTCTTCAAGAGAGTGCTAAAGAATTCCATTGAAGATGCTTTCTTGCTAACTTTGACAAGTTTTATCTTCCTTGGGGATTAAAAGTTGTTTGTTGTTGAGCCTAAGCAAAGAAGAATTCATGTCCTTTTAAAGAGGAATGAGTTTTTTTTTCTTTCAATTCTTACACTATTTTCTAAAGAGATTTTTCATCAGTTGCCGAGATTCAACCATTTTGTTATATATGGGGATATATTAAAATGCACAACTCATAGCAAAAGGTTTATTAAGTTGTAAAGGAAGATGTAAACCATAAACAAAAATAGTCTCCAAGACTATAAAAACATTACATTTTACAGAAATTAGTCTTCCACTTCATCTCCGTCAACACCTACTGCAACTGCTGGTGTTGGTGCCTAACATGTATCATATGCACTAGAAACATCTTAGTAGGAGTAACCTTTGACGAACAACTCCTTCTTGGCCTCTTCAGATTCACCCTCACCAGTGTACTTTCCAAGCTGAGCCAGTGAGTTGGACTTGGCACGGAAAAGGAGTGCATCTTGTGACGCCTTCACATTCTCTGGGCGTCCTCCCCATGTCTTCAAGGCAGTGTTTTGAAGGGCTCTGGCATATGAGAATGACACGTGCCATGGGTTTGGAGATTGGTTCATGGCATTCAAATTCAGGGTAGCTTCAACCTCAGACTGTCCACCAGACAAAAACTGCATAACACAACTTTGGTGAGCACACGAAAGGGATGTTAAGAATGCAAAGAATGATGCATTTGGCAGTGTCACTTACCATGATTCCAGGGACTGCAGGGGGGATTCTCCTGTGAAGGAGCTTGAGGGTGTAATCAGCTACTGTTTGAGGACTTGCCTTCTCCTTTGATTCAGCTCCAGGTGTAACCATGCTAGGCTTCAGGAGAATACCTTCAAAAAGGACATTGTTCTCAGCAAGGTAGAAGAACACCTCTGCCCATACCTTTTGGGCTACTTCAAAAGTTCTATGAATATTATGCTCCCCATCAAGCAAGATTTCTGGCTCCACAATTGGCACCAATCCATTGTCCTAAAACCATTAAATGAAAACATTTTGGCTCTTCAGAATCAGTACAAACATGTAGAAAGTTGATGGGTCATTGAGTGGAGAGTTTCATGGGAAGATATAACACCAAATGAGACAAGAGACAGACATGTTCCAAAATCTTAAAGATAATGAATTTATGGTTCTTTTGTTTATATGTAACTCAACTTTCTTCTTTTTATCGAATGAAAGACTTGAACTTGAAATTGAAATTCTCAACAAAAAGCGTCCCGCTAGACCCCAAATCACTAATACAACTTGAGTGGTTTTCTCACCTGAGAAATTGCAGCATAGCGAGCCAGACCCCAGGCTGCTTCCTTAACAGCAAGAGCAGAGGGACCGTTGGGGATGCTCACAACAGTACGCCTAATATGGAGTTATGGGTTGATATGATAAAAAAATAAGCATGATGTGTAACACAAGAAAATAAAGGGCATAAAACTATGAATGATTTTGCTGCCGCTGCAAAGGGCAACGAAAAACTTACCATTTGGCGAAACGGGCACCTTGCTGATAGTATGCAGCTGAGCGAGAGGCAAGACCATCCAAACCTTGGCACCATGACTCATCGTTGGAGCCAGTAAGAGGAACCAAACCCTGTTGTCTCAAGCACATAAACCATGATTTAAAAGTACATACACCGCCATACATGCAGATTCGAAGCCTCTATTTTAGTTCAAAATCGAGATTTTCACCATTCTGAACTACAAAAAAAGCTAACTTCTGGTATGTTATTATAACTAAGCTGCTGTGTTTATGTGAGACGTGGAACATTTTTCTACATGGACACCGACAAATATACCATTAACAGTACAATTAAGTATAAGGACATATTATATAAACTATTAAAAAGTAAATCTTTAACATTAACATCCATCAATACTCATGCTACTTCTTTTCATTGTTATTTAAGGTGTCAGTGACTGCATAATAAAGGAAGGAAAGGGTGATTCTGAAATTGTTACCTTGTCGACCTTAATACCAGGAACAATGTTTTGCTCAATGAGAACATCAACAATCTTCTTGCCATCAATTGTGGATTGGTAGAGAGTTTCCTCGAAGAGAATGGCACCAGAGATGTATTGACCAAGGCCTGGAACTGTCACAAGAAGGGTACGGTATGCCTGGCGGTTAGCTTCAGTATTCTCTAGCCCAATTGACGCCAAACGCTTCCCACAGGTAGCATTGGACTCATCCATGGCCAAAATTCCCCTCCCTGGTGAAGCCACAGTTTTCTGTTTTCACACGCAGCAAAATACCATTCGCATCAACAATGTCAAAAACACACTTTAGGAGCAAACAAGAACAACCACAAAGATTTATTAGAAAAGAAAGTAAAGTCATATTCACTACTAAGAAAATTTTCACAACTACAATACTAAAGCACGCACTTAATAACCATAATCTCAAGTATGACAGAAAGTTACAACTACCCTTTGTCCTCTAAATTCTAACAAAGCCAGTTGGAAAACAAGAAACGGATTATGAGTTTATGGGTGTGAACAGTTACAATTTAGTTTAATTGCAAGATGCTCTTAGTGTCTATCTTGGGTTGTTTAGATAAAATTTTCCATTAGAGAAAAGGGTAACTGCATTTAGCTTGTTCATCAGTTAAAACAATCTGAACTGGTGAAGAAGTTAAACAGAAAGAAGTCACATAAAAATAAAGAGTATGAAAGATGAGATTTTTATTATCATACCGCGGTCTTAACAAGCTCCTCAGCATATGAACCAGCTCTGATGGTGAGGGCTGAAGGGTTGGTGGGGCTGCATCTGACAACTGACGCAGAAGGTTGGCGAAGGGATTGACCCTTCACCCACTCAGACTTGTCAAGAACAAGTGAAGACTTGAGCAGAGAGGGTGATGCAGAGGCCATTGATGAGCACTACCACAATCTTATCTCCTACAGAACAACCTTTGTATTGGCCTCGTTACCACACATGCAACGTTTTCGCTTCATTTATAGTTCTCAAGTGATGTCTCGTTTGAGGCTGCTGTGAGCTAACCTATCCTCACTTGACATGTGGATGATAACTTGAGCTTCCTTGCCATTCTGAGCTGCCATTTCGTGGTTCAAATGGATGCTTTTTTTCTCGCCTCGTAAAAAAGAGTTGGAAAAAAGATTGATATTATTTTGCCATTGTGTTACTAGTAGTGACAAATGTATTACATGCACCAAAAAGGGTACCAATTATTGTTGTTTGTGTGAGAAGGAAATGAAGAACCGAGTATGAGGTTATTGTTTACCTTGTTGATTAACCGTTTTGTCTCCTTCTCATTGGTTTATGGTCTTGGTTCAATGATAGGGTGTTGTGAGGTTGAGGTAACGATGTCTCTAGATCATGCTTTGTCAAGGGCTACTTGTAATTATGCCTTCTTCTGCTGTCCCACATCCTCGGCTATGATATTTTTTAATGGCCCAATTAACTCATATTATGTTTTTTTCTTCCCATCTTTTGGTCCATTTGAGATTAATCTAATTGAGAGTTTTTTCATCTTGTTGAAAAGGGTATCTCTATATGTAATTTGGGTTTTACCCTATAATTGATACTAAAATAGGCGTCTTTGCAATGGAGGAGTTGTTTTCCTTATGTAATGTCGTGGTTATGTAACATGTGAATAGCAAGTGGGTTATTTAACATCACTTGCACCCAGTTGACAATCTAGTTTTTAGAATATTTTGATCATTAAAAAAATTAGTTTTTATATTTATAAAAAAAATTGAAAGATAAAATAATACATATAAAATACGTATACAAATCTATTAAGTGTCAAA